ACAACTACACTATCCACGCTACTCGAACAATCCAAACCGCCCACCATCTCGCACTTCAAACTCTTATCAGTCATCCAATCGTCAGCACCAGGCGCATCGTCTATTCCCAATACCAAAGATGAGTTAGACTTCATCCGGCAACGCTTCGCCGGTCGCGACCATATGGTGCTCGAAGGTGAGGCGGGTACGAAGAGACAGGTGATGAGAGCGATGGAAGAGTGCAACTGGCTTCATTTGGCATGTCACGGGATCCAAGATTCAGATGAACCAACAAAGAGTGCACTTGTTCTCGAAGACGGCCATCTCACGCTCGAGGAAATCATAAAACTCGACCTTCCTCGAGCCGAGTTTGCGTTCTTATCCGCTTGCCAAACAACAGCAGGAGATGAGGATCTGTCAGAAGAAGCCGTTCATATCGCAGGTGGGATGCTCTTGGCTGGGTATCGGAGTGTGGTCGCGACGATGTGGTCTATTCAAGACGAGCTCGCGCCGAAGGTGACGGACGAGTTCTATAGGCATGTCATGGAAGAAGGAAAGCGACCTGACCCTACGAAGGCAGCAGAAGCACTGCATGTATCAGTCCAAAAGCTTCGCCAACACCCGGGCGTTCGGCTTATAGACTGGGTTCCATTCGTTCATCTTGGAATCTAGACCCTCATAATAGTAAAATGGTTCATCGATTTGCGCCAATTAATGCATATTCATCGATATCTGTATTCATGACATTCATTTTAGTATATATACATCCAACTACCGCCTGAATCTGTGTTACTAGAGTAAGAGCTTACAGCCTAAAAGGCCGTTGTGATAAAGCTCTTATATGTGGAAGAATAAGCTTACTTGGGAATCAAGGGCGTAATTGCCGGCCCTGTATCATCCAGACAAGTCTAGGCCGCTCGACGCCTCCTTCTATCATTTACATCCACACTTGAAAATCTGTCGCAGACGCAGAGGACAAATGAAATCGTCTTAGAGGTTGTACGCCCTAGTACCGCGATATTAGAAAGCGCGAGAGCAGATCACCCTGCAATTACTCTTTTATCAGCGAAACTATTCCATATTGAGACACTGAACTATGACACTCGCCGATCAAACTCTTTATGATTATCTTCATTCAATGGACCTATATCAACAGCTGAAGCATGTCGTCTCATAAGCTGCTCCCATCGCTTGTTGTTCGGTGCGCCTTAGCTCTCTTCGACATTCCAGATTAGCGAAGCTGTGGCTTGCGCCTTGAATGGAAAGCTGATTGCATTGTTGGTATTGAGAGATGAGAGCTAGTCTACATGTCCAGTCGTAGTATGTTCGTAAAGCGGAATAAATTTCGTTCCTCTAAGGCTTCCATGCTAGTTGAAGCTAGGTCTATACTATATCATCGCATTGTCATCCACGTGCACCAGGGGATGTTGTGAAAACAGAAAAGAGAGTTAGCGGAACATGCGGGTGGTCGCAGGGACGCGTCGAAAAGGATGAACAACATACACCTATGATCTACGCTTGATGATATGAGCAGTTGCTGAGCTGTGGATCGCCCGATTCAGGACCATATAGTCCAGCTGCGTGGATTGGGAGGAAGGCGAGCGGTCCA